TGTACTTATCACCACTAAGTAGATTGCTTTATATCTGACTCCTGTTTCAAAGAGTATTTTCCACCTTTAAATGGTGCTTTATTTGAATAGATGTGCTTCCTCCCTATATGGCTGTCCCGCTGGGTTTGTTTCCTTATTAGCAACACCTCCGATGCTCTGATAGCAATTCCTTCTCCAAATTTGGCCAGGCATGGAAATATTTCCTTGTTAACACAACACATGTTGGGCTCATTGTTCAAATGGTTTGTAACACTTTATCTGCTCATACATCTGAAAATGCATGTTAGAAATTCCCTAGCTGCCCCTTTGGTCCTGGAATTTGTATCCCACAAAAAAACTATGAAAAAGGCTTCCTAAGCTGAAAGACAAAAGGAGGGGACATTAGTGGAGAAAAGCAAGACAAATATTTTTATTTACTAAATTCAACAGCCCGCCTCATATATTTACACACTTTGAATAAATCGACCATTGCAATGACAGAGAAATTCATGTCTGAACTGGACCTAAATGACTACAGTACAAGACTCAATTTAAATTGTTAGATGTGAATTATCCTCATCTTGCAATGTAAAGTGTTTGTCCCTCAACTTTGAGCCACCTAAATCTGTATTTGAGCAACAAAGAAGAAAGTTTGGTAGCTGCAGTCTGCAGCCACCGGTACCTAGTGGGTTATAGTTCGGTCAATGCGACCTACTAAAAGATATTTATATCCTCCCAACAACTTTTTTGAGTCATCTCCCAAGGACACATATGCTATTTCTGTCCAGGTTCTTGCTCATCCTCCCTCTCTCTCCGTCCCTTTTCTTATCTCTCTTTCTCCCTAAACTAGTTGCTGGAGGTCACCCTGCTGTTCCAGTTTGAAATTATATAATAATTTGACGGAATGAAACCAGGACAGTGAGGAGCTGTGGTGCCACCACGGTGCAACGTGACTCTCTGAGCTCACAGGATAATCTATAAAGGGGGACAAACAGCTTTGTGAGTTATTGCACCCATTTCTGGGCGCGTAAATCAGCAGACAAGATGTTTCACATGCATGGAACATGGATCACATGTTCACAACCTGGTTTCATCTATTGCTTGAGAGCAACAGGTGTGTGGTAGTCAATCCACAACCTGCATACAGTAGCTCCAAGGGAATTAAATATATGCTCTCCTTATAATTTAAAATAATATTAATTAATAATTTTTTGCTTCTTTAACTGTAATGTTTATAACATCAGCCTGAAAGCTTGTTTCGTGAAAGCATTCAGATTCAGACCCATTTTGATTATTATGCCCAGAAGTATAAAATACTTTAATTTCAAAGAGGTTTATATCTTCATATTGAAACTGTGTTTGTTGGTTGTTTTTATCTTCTTTTGCCCATTGCACAATGCAGTTATTTAACACAGCATGGGGATAATGCCTTATGACGTCATGACCTGTATATACATTATCTAAATAGTATTCAGTTTTTTACTTTGACCATGTACAGTAGATATGGCAACAAGTCACCATAGCTTTTGCTAGATCTACAAAAAGGAACTGCAGCAGTGTATATGTAATCTGTTAAAGCTGGGGGCTTGATTGTATTAATTGATTGATAAAACATAGTTTCCTTTAGGTTGAAATAAAGAACAATTAGTAGTAATGATGCATTATAATACAGGAGCAGTACGTTATGTATATTGAACAATATATTGACACTGTATCAATTAGATTTATCTGTGCACAAACCTCAGATATATAACCCTTATCATTTGCAACCTGAACTGACTACACCATGGCACAGACATAATGACGGTGAGGGCCCATTTAGACTGATGGAAAGCATATTCAGTAATGTACACATGTACAAGCAGCTCCCTCTAGTGGAGGATCACTTGTTGCCCCGCTTTTTATACATGGTCACACCTGTTTATGACATGTCAAATATAATGTGTGGAAACAAATATGATACAATCTACAGTTTCGCTTACATGTTGGTCAGAAAAGTCGATGTAAAGAAATCGAAACAAATAAAATATGAAGTTTTTACATTTTGGGACAGATTCTTTGACACAGCTTTGAGTAGAAGGAATTGTAATTGAGCGCATCAGGTTTGTTTGTACTTGATAAATGGTCTGTGTTCACACCTCTAATGACTCCATAAGAACAAGCATGCTGGAAGCAATGTGCATCCTCCTCATTGACGTTTTCCCTCTAATCTCATGTAGGCTCCAACGGGCTGCAAAAAGAGGCAATTAAAAGGGTTTACGCTCTGCTGTTTTATGAATGATGCATGCATAATGTCTAGGTGGAACACCATGTAGAAAATATTCTTCTTAATGAGTCTTCAGATTTGGTTTTTAATCTTTAAAAAAGATGAACATTAACTGCCTGCCTTTCACTGAAAACATTTAAGAAATAAAAGGGAAGTATAAGTGATAAGAGGGGGACACTGTGTAGTTGTGCAATGTCACAGTATTATGGTTGAGCTGTACAACTTCTTCTGAGTTCGTTTTGGACTTCTGCAATACAATTTTACTCAGAAAGCAGGTGTAAAACCTATAGATAGTAAGAGCAATGCACAAATATGTTGTGATGTTCACTCCATAGACAACACATATCAAAATATGATATCATGTGTGAAGAACAATACCTTTTTAGTTTGAAACAAAATGAAATATCTGAATGAAAAAGTCACAGCTCAGGGAGAAACTGAAAAATGCCTCAGTGGTGTTGTGACTCATGGACTTTCTGAGCAGGAGTGTATAGCCTTGTTATTGCAGGTGTCTGCCTTTATATGGCTTACTTTTAATTTATTGACCCAAAACTAGTTTAAGTTAAACTTTAACTATATCACCAGATAAAGTTGGAAACTGGAGAGTAAGAGGAAAGGTGGCAAAGGACACATTTTGATTTGTAGTCTGGTGTGCATAACACAAATTACAATTTGTGATAAATAATAATAATAATAGATTTATTTTGTCAGCGCTTTTACAGGTGCTCAAAGACGCTTTACAGATATAGTGAAAAGAAAAGAACAAATAAATATAGTTAAAGTCAAATAATACAAAAACAATCACACATTAAAAGCCAGATTGAAGAGGTGAGTTTTTGTGAGTTTTTTGAAGGTGGTGAAACACCCAATGGTGAATTGAGTCATTGATTTGCATAGAAGTGATGGCTTTATAAATTGTTATGTCAATCAAGGACAATTTAAAACACATTGCGTTAGTATTTTTAAACAATTTAAACAATCGAGGCAACATTCATAGGAAAAATAACTTAGATTATTGCCTAGCTCCAACATCCAAATGCCCATAATGACATAACGTGTGGCTTAGGGGAACCTATTGTGGAAAATCAATTCATTAAGAAATTGACTGGATATAATGATGTTTTCAATTATAAACATAACTGTAGAAGATGACATTTAAACATAAATTCTTAAAACTATTTCTTAAGATTTTTTTCTAACAGGCCCTCCTTGTGCAGGGGTTAAAAATATCTGCTAACTTTGGAGAGATGGGTTTTATAGTAGCTTCCACAAAGCTGAACACAGCAGCTTGTGTTTACTGAGGCTTCTGGTGGGAATTACAGTAACAAATGTAGAGAGTTCACAAGATGGTGCTGTTCTTCAGGTAGCTGATGTCCTCTGTGACCTTTCTACCCTCCCATATTCAGCATCAGTCATCTGTTATCATTTACTTTTAAGTTGACCAAACCAAACGTATTAATATTGTTACTGTTGACATGTCTAGGCTTGAACTTTTTTTTGGCTGATGAAGTAAATTAAAAGCATATTTTGGGTTTGATTTAGGAAGTTAGATCGATCGAACACACTCCATGCTTCACTTCTCCACATGTGGATGCAGTCAAAAGCACACTGAGATTAGGTGAGATAAGTATAAATGAATAGTAAGCTGGCATGGATATAGTACTTCGCTAAAAAGACATTAAGATCATTCAGACAATACATTCTTGTTTAAGCAAGGACATGTGAATCGAACTTGATCCAATGGACCAATAAGGACAACTTCAGCTTGGACAATTTAACATAAAGAGAACACCATTACTCATTATCTAAAGCAGGGGTGTCAATCTCAATCTCAAATCCGACCCGTGACTTCATTTTAAGTGGCCCGCAACAGCTCTGAAAGAATATAATGTGTTTATTATACGGTTACATGCCAATTTAGAGAAGCATGTTGCCCATAAACTACACGTCCCACAATGCATCTCAAATTTGCCTTTTTCTCAGAATTTGACTTTTCTTTCAAAATGTCACTTTTTTTCTTTTTCTTTTGACTTTTTTTCATCAGAATTTGGCTTTTCTTTTTAAAATATTTTGTGACATTCTCACTGAAGAGACTTGCAATTATTTGCCGAAGACTTCTGCTTTCAGACGTAGTTAATTATGAAGTTATTACCCTATCCGATAACAATCCAATGCAGAGGCAATAACATTATTTTATATATATTAAATATTTATATAGTCTTAAAGTTACAACCGGCCCTTTGAGTGCAACCATAATGCTAAAGTGGCCCGTGATGAAATTGAGTTTGACACACCTGATCTAAAGTATACTTTTAGACTTGTGTGGCTGCCATGGGCTAAATCATTTAGTTGGTAAGACTGTTGATCCTAAATATCTTTAAAAAGTACCAATATTTCAGAATCAAGAAAATCACAGTTTAGCCATGTGCTCTAGTCTAGAGTTAAAATCAACAATTTGTAAGCACTCATTAGTATGAATATATCCTACAAATAACGTTTGTTAAATTAATTCAGTTTATAAAAAGTTACAGATCTGTACATTGAAGTAACAAGCAAAAGAGTAAAGCCAACAGACCACTGGAAACCCTCCATGTGCCGCCTGCCGGGTTTATTTACTTTCTAGGCGGCTTAAAATGCAGCACTGAAAGATCCACAGTGCAGTCTCCCATAGCTGTCCTTATGTAAATGTCAGTTTGCTCAGGTTTTATATTTTTTGAAAACACAAAACATCCCATAATAAAAAACGAATGCAGGACAGATTCTTCTTTTTTAATCAAATTCTACTCATCTCAAAAGCGTCTTTGGGTTTCTAAATATTTCATACTCTGACAAAAGATGTCAAACGTTCTTGTTTTTCTGGAATAAGCTTAATTTAGCAAATATTCCCACCATGTTCATTGCTAAGTGCATGACATTTCTTTTCTAGCTCAAAGTCACTTAGGTGCGCACGTCATATTTTACATCAACAAATAAACAGGGCTAGGACAGGGACCATTCTTACAGAAGCTGTTGATCCATCAGACAAACTGTACAAAAACACAAAATCAACAATGTGTGGTTTAGAAAATACAATATCAGCTGACATAAATTTAGATTTTAACATAAAACGAAAGCGGACTTAAAAGGGAATGTAAAGGGGAATACAGTCACATGTAAATGTTCTCATGGCTTCTCTGTAGTTGTAAATATTAAATGGGCAAAGGTAGAGAACCAGAATACCAGATTTTTTTAAAGTAAAAACAGAAGAGGGCTTGAGATCTGATATTCAAATAAGGAATAACAAATGAATGTAACAAGGAGATAAATGAAAACAAAACAACCACAAAATCACAATTTAAACTTACCAAGCACAGTTCAAAAACAATAATTACAAAAAGTTTAACAAACAAACAAATAAAGATATTCCTTGTCTGTATTGATTGCTTCTTTAAATGTGAAAGGAGGGCAGAGAGAGGAGCTGACAATGTTTTGAACATTTCATATTGCTATGATTTGGCTCCTGATGAGAATTCATGTTTTCGGGTTAACTGCCTTTTCATGCTCCGCCATGTTCGTACGGTGAGACAGATGTGTGTTTGTGTGTTTGTGTGTGTGCGGCATGTGTTTTGTGTTTTTACTAGATCTGGATGATCGGAGGGACACACAGAGGTTACCGAGTTCTGCGTCGGACGCAGGTGTTCGGCCTGCGCGTGGGCACAAAGCCGTGTTTGCAGTAGCACTTGTATGAGCCGGCGGTGTTCACGCAGCGAGCGTTCTTGCATGGACTGACACGAGCTCCCGGTTCTGCACACTCATCGATGTCTGAAAGGAAAACAGTTTTCAATGAGTGTAAGCTGAAGAAAAATATCAAACATGTCTTAACAGTGCAAAACACAACGTTACTAAATACACACATTAGTCTTTCCATGTACCTTTATTGGCAACTGTATATACCTAAGAAATGAATGAAAAAAAAGTATTTTGAAGCATTTTTTGTGCAAACCTGTGCAGCGGGTGCGGGAGTGGTCCAGCCTAAAGCCTGTGTTACATTCACACATGGTGCCGAGGTAGGAGCGCACACAGCGGCCATTTGCACAGCTGCATTCGTCTGAATCCTCCTCTGAACTGTCACCTTTTACATACAAACAGGCAGGGGAAAGGTAGGGAGAGAAAAAATGTTTGGTTGGGGGGAAAAACACAAGAGTGTCCGAAATATGATTGGATATGAACAAAGATGGTGTTACCTGGGTTATAGTTAGCGAAAGCTGCCAGGAAATCCTGCTCCCCATCAGACTCGGTCTCCAGATGCATCTCACACAGACGACTGAACATCTCTGAACACAAGGAGTAAATGTATTTTCAGGTAAGAAGAAAGGGAAAGCAGAAGCTCAGGGACAGTTTCATTCCACAGGACATAAGACTTTAACATAAACACCTGAACTTTTTAAAGAACATCCATCTGTTTGCATCTTGCAAATTATTTATCTAATATATCATATTCCATTTATTTGTATATAGACTTTTCTTGCACTATTTCAATTTTATTTGTATTTACTTGCACATCTCAATATATTGTCTTGCACAATTTTATTTGTTCTATGTCCTATAGATATTCATGTTGTACTGTTGGAGGAGCCTGTGATATACGTTTTTCATTGCCATATCTACACTGTAACTAATGTGCATATCACAATAAAGCCTTGAAACTTCTAACTTGAAAGCTGAGCTGCCCATGGGGTCTGGTTCTGTTACCTGAGTTTCTGGGGGGACAGGTGTTGCACTCGGGCCCCCAGCCGCGCCCGTAGTGACAGCAGCACTCGGAGTAGGTCACCACCAGGCCGTTCCTGGGCTCGCTGCAGATCAGGCCCTCGTCCACCTGCAGGAAACACACGTCCTTGTGGGCTGCAGTGCGATCTGGGTAAGAAAGGAGGATGAAAAAAAATAAACTGTAGTTCAACAATTAAAAAGTGACATAAGAAGAATTCAGGCACTTTGAGATCTTCATAAAAGCTCTTTACACAGGAAGACATGTTCAGAGAACTCTGAAATCTAAGATTATTATCAGTAAAAAAAAAAGTAAAACAGCTGTATGCAAGTCGGTGGAAGATGTCAACAGAGAAACATTTTAAAAGTATGTAACTTTTAGAATTACGTTTTATTTCAGGTGTATTCTGTATTTGGAATGCCATAATAAATATTTAAAACATACTTTAAAAAAACTATTTGGCTTGAAGGAAAATTATTACATCAGTTTATATTTTTTTGACAAAAAAATCAGTAAATCTGAGTTCATTTAAAAGTAAAATAAGGGCAAAAAGTCATAAATATACAATTTCTAAACACAGACTCAGTATTTTGGGGTAATAGAGGTCAGGAGAAAATCTAATACAGTGGTTTCCTGTATAGCCTCAAGCCACTACTTTTAGCAGGCTTTGGCATACAGCAGATGTCCTCAGTTAGTAATAGATACAGGAAAATAAATGGCTTACTAAACCTATTTCATTTGGTTTGTACATTATGGAGTTCTTTCACACAATTAAACTATTCATTAATAAAATCTAGGGGAAAATGTTATGGTTACCTAAGTAAAATACAAAACTATGCAAATTACAATGAAAAATCACAGGCATGCACCAATGAGTTTCAGATAAATGGCTGTGTGGTTTAGTGGCAGCATGGATGATGAGGATAAGCTGACAGTTCACTCTCGTTAGGCAAATAGATCTTTGTTTATAGTTCAGTATGCATTACTGTCCTCTGTAAATGTGGAGATAGCGTATAATATTGTGTTTGAAATAGCGTGTTTAAAGTCATTTTTTGGTCTGCTGGTTACAAAGCGTCACACCCAGACAGCCTTAAAGTACTGTGAATCATGATGCAAAATGATCACAAGAGTCTGTCTTTTCACTACCAGAAGAAATGAGTTTGTCATCGTTAACAGCACAGACACAAATAGCTTTTAGGAAACAAAGACATGCAGAAAAAAATGCCTAAAGCAATCACTTTTACTCAAACTAAACATGCTCAGATAATGCTTTGTGTGCATGAAAGCGTAACATCGATATGTATATCTAATGACTACACAGTGTGCTATTTTTCCAAAGATTGGGAAACTGTCACAATAAAGTTGGTAAGAGGGAGAAAATAAAGCCATTAGAGGCCAGATGGGACACAAACTGGGAGGAATTACAAAGAGCAACATGAGTGGCAGATGTCAAGGTAAGCCAAAACTCATTTTGATTGGTCATGCTCAGGGGAGCCGATGCTGATTTTACCCACCGTCATAGACGCACTGTTTCAGCGCTGCACTGAAGGTGAGGGGAGGGTCGCAAAAACAGTGAAAGGAGCCGGGCGTGTTCTCACACCTCCCATTCTTACAGTACGAGGGGTCCTGGCACTCATTCACATCTGCAAAGAGCACCACAGACACTGGTTACAGTATGAACATCTGCTTGGGGCCAGCTCTTTGTCTGTAGGTGGTGGACACAATAATAATAAAAAGAAAAACTTGTGCTACATAATGACATTCACTTATCAGTACAATAAACCTGCAATAAACACTCTCTTTTTAAAGTTTACTGTAATTCAATATGTTAATTAAACTTCAGACTTGAATAAACTCCGACACAACGTCAACAAAAGTGGAACATTTTAGGAAACAGCATTCGTTGCAGTAATGCGTCATGAAGGATTTAAATCCTGAATAATGAGTGTCTACTACATATTCAATTCGGTTTTCCAACTCTTTTATAACCGTTATAAATCCAGGCAATTACAGAATAAGCCATATTCACATTGGTTCCACCCCTGAAACATATCAATCTGAAACAATTGGTTGGACTGGGTTTACAAATCTTTGACAAACATGAATCCATCTTCAGCATAAGGGTTTATGATGAGAGCGAAGTTCTCGTCATTTTTTGAGTTGACAAAGTGGTCCCTAAAATGATGTGTCCACGTAAGTTAGCTCATAGGGTCTATCCACTCACACATTACTACTGTAGTCATTTAGGTCATGTCGTGGTTTTAACCAGGGAGAACAGAGACATTCATACTATGTGTTTTCAGGAATTATCCTGGACTAACAGGTCAGATTAAAGATGTTATTCGACAGCTTTTCTACGTTTGAATCTCCTCCATTTCAGTCATGTCTAAATATAAAAGTATTTTAAACTCTAGCACTTCAAGCAGCTCCTTTCAATTTCAAGATGCAGCTGTTTTATAAGAAGGTCCCTCTAAAGCCAAACAGTCTTATTTTCACACTTGAGTCACTACTTGCGACAATAGGTGAAGCTCCGAATGATTCATCAACATTTTTCTTCTGCCTTTAACATCATAGCCAACTACAATGTCTGCTTTATAACAGCCAATAAATAAGATGAATAACATTCCAAGTTAGCTGAACTACACTTTACGCTGTCACTTGGAGTGAGTAATGCTTTCCTTTGTGGCAGGGAACCAAAGTATCAAAGTAGATCTGGGTCCTAACTTTGCCACACTCAGCTGCAAACTTCTAAAGTAAACATCTACAATTACAACAATGGCACTTCACTGTCACCAAACCAGAGCTTTCCAGTCCTTGGCTCAGGTGAAGTGCATAAATTAGACTAACCAAAGAGTTGACAAGGACACACAGAACCCACCTTGAACATTTCAAACACATCTACTGTTCTAAGTGTAAGAGGACAAAAGTTCACTATATTTGCAAACACTTCCCAAAAGACTGGCGACAAAAGGGCCATTTAAAATGTGTCTTTTCATAATACTTAATCCTTACTGCATTTGCTCCAGCAAGGATAGGGCCTGCAGCCTTCCTCGTTAATCATGAGGAAATTAAGCTGTCAGGTCCCAAACCTCTGGGCATTCATTTTCATAGGAAGGATTTCGTCACAAGACGTTTTAAGCAAACCCTGCCTGAAATATTTGGTCAACCTGTCCTGTCTGGTATCCAATGCAACTCATCACCATCAGTCCAGATCATCTTCACTCACACAAAACAAGAGCATTGGCTTCAGGTTTCATGAAACAAGTACAGTACAACAACTATTCCTTTTTTTTCACAACTTGGTGTTTGACCAGCAAACCCAGATATGTCATTTGGAACAGAGTGGTAAAGTTTTATTTGCAGATGTTATATTAGAGGTATACAATCTGAATGCAACAATGTTTACCTTACATGGGTACGTAAATGTTTATTTGTTTGTTTAGTTTGGTTCCACCTACAAAAAGGTTAGCAGATCTTCACCATCTGTGTTTCACTAAGCACTAACTCAGTTGTGTCTCACATGCACTGACTTTCATAAGCACATACAGCCAACACTGTCATTTTGATTAAGTCAGAATATGCTGTTTCCCACTTCTTTCTGACCCCTCCCCCCCCCCATTGCACAGGGTCTGCACTCACCAGCCTGCTCCTCAGGGGTCACACAGCTGTTACGGTCGGTGGCCAGGGTCCACGGCACGGTGCAGAAGCAGTAGTACGACCCTGGAGTGTCCACACAGTGGCCATTCTTACAGTTGGCTGGGTCCTCACACTCATTCACATCTGTGGTGAAAGAAAAGGTTTGCTCAAACCTCAAGACAATTCCTCCAGTAGCTAGCCACATACAGGCTGACACTGTTTAACTCACCGGCTACTGTTGCTATCACACAGCTCTTCTTGTTGGAGTCTGGGGTCCAGGGCCTGTTACAGTTGCAGTAGAAGGACCCTTCGGTGTTGACGCAGTGACCATTATTGCACAGAGACTCGTCGTGGCATTCATTTACATCTGAGGGAGAATGTGCAACCGTTCAGAACAACATTAACATGTTATAAAGCCTTGTTACAGTATTTCTTTATTGTCACTTACCAATGCACTCAAGTAGGTTGCCGTCATAGTAGAAGCCCTGCTGACAGTAACACTCGTAGCCAGGCTGCGTGTTCTCACAGCGACCCTTCTTGCAGATTTCATCAGCAAACAGAAAACACTCGTCGATATCTGCGGACAACCAAGGAAAAGTCTCTTCAGAACAGAATGCCAACCTACCCAAAGTTTGTTTTATAATGTAACAAGGGCAATTTCCCAATCTCATAAGAATCTGGTAATTTATTATATTTTAAATTTAAGCAAATAGTTTGAGTGCAAATGCAGGAACATCTTGCAGGAATATCTTTGCAATCACTGAGTAGCCATGGTGCATGTTAATATGGTGACTCAAGTTGTATAATATCTACCATGGTAGACGGGCAGGCTGTACATGAGTCCTTCATCGTAGTAGAGGCCCTGTCCGTTCGGACACAGGGAGTGGAACTCGGCTGGGTGAAGAGGACAAGGAAAAGGTTAGTAAAGATCAACATATACAGTAGATAAACAATATGACATGATGTATACAATGTGGTGAACTTTCACTAAGATGCATGCGTTTATCACTGGTTAACGCAACAGAAAAACAATCTCTACATTGGTGTGAGCACATTTGCAAAAATAATCATACAGTTGTCATGGCCACATTTCTCACAGTACACAGTATAACAATGTTTTAATACAAAGAAAGGAACTAAGGTAATTATTGTCCAAAACCTTGTAAGTAAACATATTCAACCAGGGTTACTTAGGACAAGTTAGATTCAAGACATTTTGTAAGACTTTTTATTGCCACCTTATGGATCTGCTTTATATTAATGGGAGAGGCTTTAGATAAATTATAAAAATAGAAAAATGATTATTTTTGAAATGTTACAATGAACCATTAAAAAAAGAACAATCTATAAAATCTTTCTTCATATGACTTGAGTTAAATATGGATTTTTTTATTTTTTTTGTAGGTTATTGAAATGACTTTTAAGACCTTTGGATGATCCACGGGAACCCTGTCAACACTCTGAGCTTCAAGCCCACCTATAACTTAGTTGAATGTGTTTTTACTTGAACAATGCACTCTGTACTGTAACTGTACCTGAATGGGAGACAGGACAGGGGTAGACCTCACAGTGGTCTCCCCATCCCACTCCAATGGAGCAGCAGCACTCCTGCTTGGTGACGTTAGTGGCCAGGACGCTGTCGCAGAACACAGTGTCGTCGAGGTTCAAGTAGCATTCCTTCTTCTCATCCACCTGCACTCGAACTGCTGCGGAGCAAACATGATGAACGTTAGGAAACAGAGGATTGTTTGTCCACAACTAATGACTGAACTGGACTGCAAAGGGCTCACCAAGCTGGGCTTTCCTTTAATTATTGTTAAGTTTGAGAGTTAGTTTATAAATAGTAGAATATACGATTTGACATTATATAACCATTTATTAGAAATAGTTTGACTATCAGACCTTCAGATTGGTTTGAACCAAAGTGTTTTGGGTTTGGGACAAGCAGGGATATAATGTTCAGGCCTGGTTTAAGCTCCGGGATAAATGTGGGTCCGCAGTAAGACGGGAGGATTCAGAGCAGGCTTACCCTCACAGCTGTGTTTGTCCTCTGAGAGCACAAAGCCGTGGTTGCAGGCGCACAAATACGAGCCCGGTCTGTTCTCACAAGAGCCGAAGGGCTTGCAGAGACTCCTGTCCTCGGCACATTCGTCTATGTCTGTAAGGGAAATCACACATGGCGCTCTGGGTATTTGTATAAATTCAAACACCATCTGAGTTGCAAACAAATAGATTTTGTTCTTTTTGTTCTTAAAATATCCTCAGCAATTTTTGGCGCTATGCCTCAACTTATGTGGCAATACAAAAATAACAAACGTTGCATAAGTAAGCGTGACGATGCAAAACAATGACAATTCAAAAGATAAAGATTATAAAAAATATGATTGTTAATAGCAAAACAATAGAATACATCCTATAATATAATAAAGAGGTAACAAATAAGATTTGTAGAGGCTGACCTTGGCATCTCCTTCCTCCCACCAGTGTGTAGCCCTTCTGGCACTCACAGTGGTACGAGCCCATGTTGTTGATGCAGCGGCCCCTCTGACAGTTCGATGGCCTCTCACACTCATTGATATCTGAAGGGAAGGAAACAAAAACAATGTAGGAATGTGAAGCATGCAGTGAGCAGGATATTACAAATGGATCCAAACCGATCTGGACTCACTCACACTCTGTTTAGATAGCCCTGTGCTGATTACTTATCAAGAGTAAAACCAGTTTCGTGCCTTAAGTATTGCTTTTTTGTTCCATGTAAACAGTAGTGTAAGAAGTACTCAAATATTTTTCTTAGGTAAAAGTAGCAATATAAAATTGTAAAAATACTCGTACACAGGCCTGGTTCTTTAAACTATTTTTCTTTTTGTATTTACTTATATTTTTCTGTTTATCTGTGTTTTGTGTTGCACTGTTGGAGAAGCCTGTGACCTAAGAATTTCATCGAGATAACTACACTGTAGCTATGTTCGTATGACTAAATAAAGAACCTTGAAGGGCTCCATTCAAAAAGTACAAAAGTATTTGCGTCAAAATATACTTAAAGGTTGGGTATGTAATTTTGGAGAAACCAGCTCGAGTACGCTAGAATTTGAAAATACACAACCGGAAAAAATCTGCCACTTCCTTCAGACTTCCTTACAGAGCCCCTCCTCCAACACACACGAACGCGCACATGACCAATGAGGGGCCACGAGATAAATTCAAGCACGAGATAAATTCATGCACGAGATGGAAGGCTGACAGGCAGGTAGGCAATCCAGTTACTTTAGCCGGGCCGGCTCAGATGATTGGTCGTGCTTTTTACAGCGCTACGGCTTCCACAGATGAAATGTTTTCATTTACATTTCATGTATCCATTGCTATCGGGATGTTAAGAGCATTCCATGCGATATAACAGAAAGTGTTTCTGAAATAAATTACATACCCCACCTTTAAAGTTCCAAAAGTAAAAGTATTCATTATGCTTTAAGGCCCATTTCAGAAATCATAAATATCATATGACTGGATTATGGCTATTGGTTCATTAATGTGTTTATCCTAGCTGGTAAAGACAGATCTCTTTTTGTATTACTTTATACCCTGCTGCTGGGTATTTTAACATATAATCTGGCAGCAAAGCGTTTATTTATATTGTATTAGATTATAATCTGAATCTCTATCTAATCTAAATCTAAAACTGTCAGAAAAAAGTAATGGAGTAAAAAGTACAAAATTGTCTTCTAGGGTGTAGAGGAGTAGAATTCTAAGGCAATATACAATTAAAATACTCAGGTAAAGTATTAACACCTCAAAATTGTACTTAAGTACAGTACTGTACTGCAATGTACTCTGTTTTCCACTAATGCATGTGAACACTATTCAAATTAATGGTTTGTTGAATATTTCATGCCTTCGCAGTGGCTGCCCTCCTGTGTGCGCTGGTACCCCGGGTGGCACTGGCACTGGAAGGACCCCTCTGTGTTGATGCAGCGGCCGTTAGCACACAGCCTGGAGTCCTCACACTCATCAATGTCTGTTTGGGAGAAGGCAAAATGTGTGAACTTTGAACTAGTGTTAGAAAAATATCACTCGTCACCTTTTTGAGTTTCAATAATCAGGATAAATGTATTTATTATCCTTGCAAGAATGGAAGTAGTCATCACATACAGAGCATATGGGACAACTAGCTGAACACAGTGTCCTTCACATGCTCATATACAAGAGAGGGTGTTACACAGTCACAAGATGGAGGAATACCGGTTCAAAGGAGTATACAATGTTTAGTTCAGTTTCAGCTGAATCATCATGTTAACCGTTGTCACATAGCTATCATATTCCTAAAAGCAGTCCTGGTGCTCTTCTAGGTAATCATACATCCTGTCATGTACACAGCTACGTAGGGCCTTTTTTATCATGTGCTACATTCAGTATTTTCCCAACAAGTAGCGATTCAAAATCCCTCATTACAACTTGAGCACCAAACAGCATGTAACGTCAGGTTAATGTGATGTAAAGGTTAGGTTTACTCACCACTGCAGTCTTTGTTATCTGTATTGTAGAAGCCCTCGTTGCACAGGCAGCGGTACGAACGAGGGAGGTTCTCACAGCGGCCGTTAGGACAGATGCCAGGATTCTGACACTCATTAATGTCTGGTGAAACATGAAGCAGATTACAGCATACATCTTTTACAGTGTTTAGTTATGCTGCTCCATTTGCTTGCAACCAGCTGTAATATGAGCTGAAACTCAGGGGGCCGGTCTCTCTTAGCAGATGCAAGAACTACTATCAAAAAGCAGGCAACTCTGTCTGTAGAAGCTTTGTATGAGGATGTTTCTGATTGTGATTATGATGTGTTCTCTGTTCTTTTAATTTGTTGTAACTATGCTGCTGCCCCTCTTGGCCAGGATTCCCTTTTAAAAGAGATTTTAATCTCAATTAGATTTTTCCAGGTTAAATACAAAAAAACAGCTGACTTATTTATTTATTATTACAATAAGCAGTATTTTAATGCAATGTACAGTTACTGTTTTACTTATTCTTATTTACATGTTATTTCTGAATGTACTTGCATATTGGTTACTTGCAACATTCTCTTGCACTATTTTATTTCTGAAAAAAGTGTATAAAGTGTTATGTCTTACGTATATTTATGTTGCATTGTTAAAAGAGCCTGGCACTTTAGATGTCCTTGTCAAAACTACACTGTAGCCATCGTGCATATGACAATGATGCCTTCAAAATCTTTGAATGAACGAGACATGAAAACCAGATTTTTGTCTGGATTAAGGCCATATAAAGGTTTAACAAACCCTACATGATGTCAATATTCACAGCGCATTAAACCATTGAAGAAGTTCAAATGTGTAACCGTAAAATGCACAATATTTACATAACATTTTAAGGTAGGCTATAGCATTTTCTTTTAAAATAAACTAATATTTAGATGTTTCCCTGTTATATGCCTTACACCACACTGATAAACTGACTGATTTATCCTGCTCTGTAACTAATGAGTATCTTTGGGTGGATAAATCAGTGATGTCCATTTCCCACAGAGCCCTTTTTTATGACTATTACCAGTCAGATAACAAAATGGGCTGATTTAAAAGCAAAACCATCCGCTGATGGAGTGAGTACATTTTTTGTTTAAATGTTAAGCATGATAGTAAAGCCCTAAATGTGGCAGTGCCCCTCAAAAAACACACATGAAGAATAAAAAACAGCTAATAAGTGATGAATGTTGCTGAAGGGCAGGGATGCACTCACCATAGCAGATGCCCCCGCGGACCTCTTGTCCAGACAAGCAGGGAACACACTCATATGAGCCTGGTGTGTTCTCACATTGCTCATTGGGACACGTGTCAGGGCTCAAACACTCATTAATGTCTGAAATAAGTGGGAAGAAGTGTCAAAAACCCATGATTTGAAGAAGTATTAACAAGCACACACGCAGAGAACAGACGCAAGTATGTTATAGTGACACACTGAATAATAGGTGTTTTGTAGGTGGAAAGCCTGTGCACTGATATCACAGCTGTCATAATAATCAGTGTCTTATACCTTCACATGCTGGCTGACGGTGGGACTTGCTCCTGAAGCCGCCGTGACATTCACATTTATAAGAGCCGGGCAGGTTCACACACTTTCCCCCGACACCACAGATGTCCTGCTTGGAGCACTCATTCACATCTGTAAAACCGAAAGTATAGAGCCAATGCAGGATCTTATTTGATGAAAACATTTTAACATTGAAGTTAGCCAACCTGACTTACCGACGCACTTGAGTCTCCCATGCTGCACCATGTGTTTATAGCCCTGACGACAGTGGCATTTGTAAGCTCCTTCTATGTTGACGCAAAGGCCTCTGCCGTGGCCGCACGGTTCTGAATCACATTCATTATCATCTGGAAAACAGGAGAGAAGGGCGATGATGACACATGATGAAAAAAATGTTGAATACTTTAGACAGAAAACAGATGGATGGAGAGCTCAGGGGAAACAATGCCCTGATTCCAGGAAGTGTTTTTAAGCACCGACTGTAGCATTGTTTCTTCAGTGATTAGATATGCGTCATGTATTAGATCAAGTACTTCTTACCTACTACCGGGTCCATTCACATATGTTATAAAAAACACACAGCTAAGTTTAAATAGTAATATATTACACTCTAAGAAGACATAAGAAGAAGCATGATCAGTCAAAACTGTAATTCTATTTGCTTAAGTCTTTTAGGGGTTTTACATGCTGGGACATTATGTTTAACTAATCAAATTACAGCTGTCAAATAAATGAATTCACTGTTTAACTATAAAGGTGATTTATGTCTTAAAGGTCCCATGTCATGCTTTTCTGGTTATTACCCGTCCCCTTGTGTGTTATGAAGGTTTTTCTGCTTGTAAACGGTCTGCAGAGTCACAAACCCTCAAAGTACACCCTGTAGCGAGTAAAACTCTAACACAGAAAAGACCTGTCTATGCTGCCCCAGAACGCCTCGTTGGGGATTTCTCTTTTTCCATTGTTTACTTGGGTATAGTGACGTATTTCGGGTATAGTGACGTAACGTAACGGCTCCGCGGACCAATCTGCGGACTTCCTCACACACACACTCTGCGGGACGTTGCGAGGCTCGCTGCTGTGAGGAGCGGGCTGCTGCGAGGAGCGGGACAGTGTGAGCTGGCTCACTGGTGTGGGGTCGGTGAGACAGCGAGACACCGGGACACCGGGAACTCAGCCTGGGCACACACACAAACTCCCAGCCAGCCTGCGGGTGTGTGTGTGTGTGTTCGGGCTGGGTTTCGCTGTGTCTCGGTGTCTAGCAGACGGCCACTGGGCTCACAGGGAGGGGGGAGCAGGAGCTCCAACAAGCCGTTTAGGACAGAGAGTGAATACACTATACAGAGATGCTGTATGAGAAACCAATGTGAGTTTGGAAAATTGCACATAGTAAATCTATTTTAGCATACCTCAACAATGGAATTATGATCAGTAAAAATGGCCATGACATGGGACCTTTAAGTAAAAATGTATCAGCATCAAACTGTCCACGACACTATAGAGTGGCGAAGTCACGCCCATCTACTTCTGCCCCATGGGACCTATTTTCTGAAAAATTATGTATTGAAGTCAATGGACAGAGAAAACTTATCTTTCGATCCCGTTTTAATTGTGCCATGAATTACACATATGATGTTTGTCAATCTTAAAAAATCATTGCCATGTCAAAAAAGTCAGTTTGTCTTAAAACTGTTGAAATATAAGACTATGAAAAATACGTAACTAGAAAGACTACAAATCCCAGAGTCGCGTACATTACCGTTCCCCATTACACTCGTGTTACTCACCGAAACCTTGTAAAGCCGGTCCCGCATGCTGGCTCTTACGGAACCGACTAACTCCCCTTGTGTGTATGTACAGTTCTCAACATTCCCAGACTTGAAGTAATTTTCACCTCTTTCAATGCTTTTCACTTCATTCTGAAAGAAAGAGGTGAAATGTGCTAACGTGACGGCCATCAAGATTGTATATGTATCGTTTATATATTGAATTACTGGGTTACTTCTCTTGCACTATTTCATCTGTTTTAAGTCTTATACTGTATATATTATATTATGTTGAACTGTTGGAGGAGCCTGTGACTTCAGTTTTTCATTGCCATATCTGCACTGTAGGTAATGTGCACACGACAATAAAGCTTTGAAATGGAATACTATGATGATTATTCATCTGTTTTTAATCACAGCTGGTAAATGTAGAGTTCATTTGGATAACTTTATATACTACAGCTGGATACCTTAACCTATAAATATATGTCAAAGTGTATTTAAGAATTGATTTGTATAAGCTAATAATCTAAACCTTTAAAGTAACTACTACTGTAGGAGCTGTCAAATAAATGTAGTGGAGTAAAAAGTACAATATTGGCTTTTAAAATGTAGTAGAGTACAAGTATAAAGCAGCATAGTAACAATTATAGTTCAGTAGACTTGAGTAAATGTACTTAGTTACTCTCCACCCCTGCTAATAAGTGAAATTTTTGCAAAGTCCATAACAATAGAAAGCATTAACAGGATTTAAAACCACTTTTTCGCTCACTCCTTCCTGACTGTGAAATATATGAATTATGCATACATTTCCATAAAGGCACTTCAGTATGTAATTTCCATGATCTCAATCTGCCAGTCAGCCCTGCTCCGTGAGCAGCTCATCAAAAACATCGTTAGCCAGCCCCCAAAGCTATTTCTGACATCGGCTCGTCAAAGGGCAAATGCATGCATGACCTCTGACCCCTTGCACTGTTGATATACAATCCAGCCGGTGTGAGATGGGAAACACAGCGGCAAAATGACAGTGATGATTGCTACAGCTGTAATTAATAGAAGAGATGAGTTCTCTCAGTGACATGCTCCCCGGGGGCTGCCTGAGCACCGACACATTGCCCTCTGGTGGCTGCCTCTGCACAAAGATGTTCTTTCAATTCAGAGCACAGCTAAATGTGTTTGTTTTATTTACACTTGAAGTGTGACAATGGCATGCAAATGACACGGATCTCTAAAACAGACGACACATTTAGCTACCGGCAAAATGACTTCATACAGTATTCCTGGAAAAAAATGATCTGTCATCCTTGGCAGGAGATGTTTTCCTTTTCAATCATTACTGCACTGGGGACATCTTTGTTCCAATGTCAATTTGCCGTAAGCCAGTCTTATCAGACGACTGGCTTCATCCCTGCTCTGACTCACTCGTTACCCTCAAAAGGACATTGTGTAATTTGGCTGTGAAAGCGCATATCACACATCAGATTGGCAGTGGCACATAACAGATTTAGAGCCTGAGGTTCTGACGTTTTCTGATAGGCTGGCAGGAGAACTGTTGTGTAAAAAGTTCATTGAATATTGTTAGTTATTAGTTCTGTTTTGCAACGTTATGATCAGACAAAGGGCAACAATGGCATGCCTTACTTTAAAATGTAACACTAAGACTGTGTATATTTATTTATAAAAGCTAATGCACATGTTGAGACTGGAGACAAAGTGACTTTGTTTATGATGCTCATTGGTCCCCTGTTTTTAGATCAATACCCAAAGAAAACCCCTTAGTTGGATCTCAAATCATGACATTAATTCCAATTTGAATTTTTTTCAGCGCAGTTAGGTGGCATTTGTGAAAGTAGTTTAGGGGCCGAATTAGACATTTTTCATATTGGGTTTATTTCTAATATTGATTTGATGACGTAATAATCCGTTTTTTTACTTTTGAGAATGATCTGCATTCCTGTGGGGAAATGATTTCTGAGGTTTTACTGGAAAACCTGTGTAAACGCAGCCTTGGCAATATTCATATTGACGCTCCAATAACAGAAACAAGTATTGGAAGACTTGTTCAGTTCAATCAGTAATACAGGCTCATTACACGTCATGTCACTTCAGTGGAGGCTCCCAGGAAATCGTTTTTAGAGTAGTTTTGGGGTAGAATGTTGGAGACTCAAGAGTATTTTAACTGATGATCTCAGTTAATAAAACAAATGATGCGTAATTAAAAAGAAAATAATTGGCATGCCACTTTTACTCATTTAATTATAACAATGATTATTAAACAGCCCACTCTCACCTCTAAATTAAATTCCCATTAAAAAAGATAAATAAATAAGTTGCTAATCCTTTTTCATTTTTGACCACCATATTGACAGAACCTTTTGAGATGAAATGGTAAACGTGTTAGCAAATAGTCGCTCATGTACACAACAACCAGTTATGGAACAACATGATTAATCATTTGGAGTTTTGTTTCAGTCCACCTGATGAATGCAAGTCTAATATTCACAGTTCTTAGCTCTGTTTTCAATCTTTACAAACTCCTGAAAGACAATAACAGCTTCATGAGAGCGGTGACAGAGACACAATGGAACAATGGCACCTTCTGCTCCATTCTAACCGCACATTCTTCATTCATAAATACAGTTTATGAGTGGGAAAAAATTTTTGCGTGGTTTTTGAGCGCATGTATAATTGATCCATCTGGTAGCAGATGTTCTGTGTGACTTGTCGTCCCCAGAAGAGACACCATGGAGTGAAGGAGGCCCCTCTGATGTTGGTGACCTGGTTGGGCATGCTGAGATACGGCTTTTTACTTCCACTATCTCCCTTCTAATCAAGTCCGTCAGTCAGCAGGAAACACAGGGAATGGAGAATCAGCTGCATCAGCGAGGACGTGCTGGAGGGACACTCTGCAGCCTGACCCTGCTCTACTCTGGCCCAGTCTCCTAGGCTCTTGTTGCCATGGACACTGTGAATGAAAGTCTGTAGAGCGCAGTGGTGTGGCTCTGCAGTGCCGACACACTGCTGCTTTGTTACTCAAACAATTATTTCTAATCGCATCCTACAGTGTTTACATTTCTATGCATATCTTATATTTAGGAAGGGTAACGTTTATTTTTAAAGATTTCATATGTTTATATATTTTTGTTGACAGGCAGACAAAGTTAGCAACTAGCTGCAGTGGCGGCGCCAGAGATTGCGGTCCCACATGCTGGCTCTTACGGAACCGACTAACTCCCCTTTTGTGTATGTACAGTTCTCAACATGGCCAGACTTGTAGTGATTTTCACCTCTTTTAATATTTTTCACTTCATTCTGAAAGAAAGAGGTGAAATGTGCTAACGTGACGGCCGTCTTGGTGTGTCGTGCGAGACGGGAGGGGAACGTGTTGTAGCATTTAGCAGCTAACGGTTCAGATCTTTGTCTCAGAAGACCATACAAAGAGAGACCAAACTATGCTCCACGAAAAGTGAATATTGCGCTTGCATATATCATGAGACCAGAAACACAAACGGCAAAATGTTGCTATTTGTTTGCTTACATCTGTAATATAGCATTGGTTTGGAAAGATTTTCCAAAAAAAAGACAGAAAATTAAAATACTAAAATTGAAGGAAAGGAAAATGTTCTATATCATATCTTACCCCTTTAAACATTCGTTAACTTTTGATATCCTAAAACAAAAACGTTATCTCCCCTCCCCCCCAATAATTACAAAAAAAGTACTTCAGCACGTCAAGCTTTAATTAAGATTAGCTAAAACAGTCCAACAGGTTTAAATGTTAACGATATCACTGACCTTTTGTTAACGATGTTCCTATATTATCCCCACCACGTGTAGTTTGACCCCAGACATCTTCAACACTGTAACATAATCTATGTTAAGCCCCCATCCTCATGTGCAGAATAAACTGCTCAACTTTAAATCTTTCTATCTAAACTGATCAAAGATCATGCTCTGCATCTTCTATATGCACAGAGCTGAGCTTCAGCTGTTCTTAGCCTCAGTTCTTTAATCAAACCTGGCTTCCTCACGTCAGGGTCTTTTATCCCCCAAAGAAAACATCTTATAAACATTAATAAAGAGTGAGAAGGAAGTTCTCTCCCTCAACTGCTCTCTGCTTAGCGGCAGAATAATTAAACTTAGTTCTAGTCTTGAAGCCGTGGAGGAAAAAAAGAAGAAGAGTGTCTGTTGCAAGATGAGAATTGCTTTTGGCACTTTTAACCGTCTCAATCCTAGAAAAAGCAATCTATATACATTCTCCCAGAAGCAACATCAACATGATTCAAGCTGTGAACTATGATGTGGAGAGACCATAAAGGTTTGGAGCTGCTTCAGGGTCTGGACAGCCCACACCATTGAGCATTCAATGAGGGAGAAGCAGGAAATACTGCAGAAGACTGTAAGGGCAATAGGGAGCTGGGTAATATATGTTTGCACTAGAAATATTTTATATTGGCAATAGAGACTGCTTAATATCTTAAAGCTTATAAATCATAAGGCACATGGATGGCCCCAGAAAGCTCTGTTTACTCAAGTACAAAAATGTACTTGAGTAAAAGTACTCATTCTGCAGTCCATGAAGTTTCAAAAGTAAAAAGTACCAATAAATAAATAATATTGTCACACTTTTGTAAATTATGTTTATTATATTATCCTGTTTTTATACATGCAGGAGCATGTAGTGGTAGTTTGTTAATGTGAACCAAATGTAGGTACTTTAAATACTGTCTAGTAGTACAGTACTGCATTACACAATATCACCATATCATGTGTTAAATGTAAAAACGTAACTATGAGTGTCAAGATAAATGTAGTGGGGTAAAAAGTACAATTTTGAGGGACTTGAGTATTTTAATGTTTTGCTACTTTTTACTTTTACTCCACTACATTTAATACCTTTAGTTACTTTGCAGATTTGGATGAATGATGTGAAATATAATCAAGTGTTAAATCAGACTTTAGTTCCACCTGGAGTAAATCCACAAGCTACCCTGCAGTATACAAAGTCATTCAAACTAGCTGTACCTTTACCAGCTTTGAGAACACTTTCATGATCAATCATTATAAAACACATCATATATATTATTCTGAAATGGACTAATCTGCTACTTTTGGTACTTTAAGTCTATTTCAATGGTAATATTGTTGTACTTTTACTTGAGTATCATTATGAATGCAATACTTTTACACTTGAACTATGTGCAAGATCTGAGTAGCCTACTTTTCCCACCTCTGGTTAATCGACAGCTTGTAGTCTTTGTAAAAGAAACATGTATGTACTCACCGTTTACAGAAGACTTTCAGCCTGACCGTCCATCTCCTCAGTCCTCAGCCGTGGTCAGCACTCCCCTCCTCAGGTATGTTTTAGTGGACTTTAAGCAGCAAAAAAACCTGCTTACATACAGCTGCATATGCCTCAGGCTGTGGTGTTGTCAAAGAGAATTAAAAAGTTGGAATAAATCCGGTAGAATCTCCTGGTATGGCCTCAGAAACAACATGGCGGCACTCTCATCTTGTTACTTTTAAGAGTGAAGTTCAGAAGACAGAATATCACACACTTCGAAAAACTGTTGTGAAAAATAACACAAAAACACGCTTAATGCTTAATGTTAACATTAGCTTGATTTGACATATTGACATATGAGTCCAATCAAACGACGGGATCATCTTTGGTCAATTTTTCAGACTTTCTACAATTATTTCTGTTTAAGGTTTGATTAAAAAACGGTTATAACATAATAAATAAATAAAAAAGGACATTTTCAGTGGTATATCTCAATGTGTTCGCATGGCATGAACTACACTGAACAAAAATATAAACGCAACACTTTTGTTTTTGCTCCCATTTTTCATGAGATGAACTCAAAGATCTAAAACATTTTCTACATACACACAATATTTGAGAGAAATGGTTATTTTGTGTATGTAGAAAATGTTTTAGATCTTTGAGTTCATCTCATGAAAAATGGGAGCAAAAACAAAAGTGTTGCGTTTATATTTTTGTTCAGTGTAGTTCATGNTGAATGCAGGATGTGCACACATGCGCGCGCACACGCACACGCACACACACACACACACACACACACACACACACACACACACACACTACGACTGAACAATTAATCAATTTAAAATCGATATTTGAAATTGTGCGATTATCAAAAAAGTGGACCTACTGTATCATGCAAAATGCACTTTTGTACGTCTTTTATACATGAATATGTGTCCGAAAACACAACCCTCTCTC